TGTTTCACAGGTCAGCAGCAGTCTAGTAAAAGGAACTACATTCCACTGCTTTTCACAACTTGCTTTAATTTTTACTTTTTGACTGAGAGCCGAAGGGAAATAGCGAGTCTAAAACATCCAGCTGACGGATGTGCGGCTGGAAAAGTGCTATCTTGTAAACAGAATGCACATCTGTCTCGCTGCAGGGACATTTCAAAGCCTAACTTGGTTCCGACCATCGAATCTACACTCCTTACACCCGCATGTGGACTTACAGATCGTCAGTCGTTACACATCTGATTGACCTTCTGCTCAACCCTCAGAGTAGGAAGTACATTCTAAAGCACTTGGTAACTAAAGAAACTAAGCATGGCCTGACCTCTATCCCCACGTAATGCAAAGTCATGCGCTAGGGTCGGCTTCCATCTGCCACAATGCTCACTCTGGAAGTTACAGGGCTTGAACAAGTGGACAGCTTTCTGTACTCCGGAAAGCTTCAATCCTGCCGGCGGCACCAATGGCCGGGAGAGTTTTCTTCGTATTTCCAAAAGCCGGTAAACTTTCACCAATCTGAGGCATCTGTAGCGTCGTCGTGAAGTTACACTCTCGGTAAATGGTCAGGGTCTACAATGACTTTATTCATGCGGCGCTGTTGTATGGAAGGGAGTCTTATCTGATTCGTATGAATGATATGTGTCGGATTTAGGCGTTTGACAATGAGTGTTCGCAAATAATAGCTGGTGGTTGTTAGGAGCAATGCCTTTACAATGCCGATGTTATACGGCATCTCAATAGACTAGTAAAGCTACGCCAACGGATATAACTGGGTCACGTCCACAGTCTGCATACAAGCAAGTACAGTGAAGCGCATTATTCACTACCACAAGACTGCAGCGGACGAGATCGTCTGGTGGTCAGCTAACGTCGTGGCGGTCAAAAAATCCAAACACTATCATATATGTTATCTATCATCGGTCCCGCTCGTCTCCCGGGGCAAGGGTTTAAAGATAAGAATACCGCTGGCGGGAAGCCCATTGAGACGGTACGGAACTGGACTCAATGGAAGTTGTGAAAGAAATTGTGTTATGAATTAACCGATCAAGGCTGTAGTCAGCAAACTAAGAAAAATGGCGAAACAGGGTGTTAAAAAATATAAATCAAACCTTTGATCTCTTTCCTATTTGTTGTTTTTTTAATTATTACGGAAGTTCATTTCACGGTTTTTAATGATCCTGTCGTCGCAATGAGGCTGAACTTTAACATAGTGCAGCAGTTTGAGTATCACGTCGATCCATTGATCTATAGTTGGTGGTGCCCCCTGGGCACCCTGAGAACCCCTCATACCAGGTTGGCCAATAGTTAGAGGTCACACACCATCCTCTGCTCCTCCAGGTAGGGTTATGAGAGGGTTGGCGTCGATTTCTATAAAACCAAACCATTGCAAACTCCGCTGCTTTGAGGACAGACTGTTAAACCATAGGCTTTGGTTAAGGTCCCTAATCGTTCTTCCGTTTAGGTCCGAGTACCGTGACAGTAGCTCAACCCACGTGCGACCAGGATTATTTCTCCAAACTTGGACCATATCATGCATCGGGCAGTCGCACAGACTGTTCTAACCACAGGGGTATTAGCCTAACGCCAGTTGTGACAAAATTACTGGCCTCGATTCTCGTTCGTCGCCTCACTGCGGAACGGGAATCTCGGAGTAGGGAAGAGCAGGCCGGTTTCCGCCCAGGACATGGCTGTAAAGATCATATATTCACTTTGAGGCAGGTGCTAGAACAGCGCCACGCATACTGCAGACCGACAATGGCTGTATTTCTCGATTTCAAGAGTGCCTTCGATTCAGTCGATCGATCGATTCTGTTCGAAATACTTGCGCGGAAAGGTGTTCCCACGAAATATGTGAACATCCTACGTGCTCTATACTCGAACACTACAGGCTGCGTCAGAATCTACGGTGTCCTATCAGATAGCTTTCCGACCACAAGTGGCGTTCGTCAGGGTTGTCCGATTTTCCCATTTTCGTTCAATTTCGTCGTGGATTCTATCATGGGGTGTTCCCTTGCGGAATCGTACGATGGTGTTGACGTGCTGCCTGGTGAATGTTTAGTTGGTCTAGATTAGGCGGACGATATCGTCTTGCTTTTTGACAATGTTGGGGCGGCCCAATCAACCCTGAATAGCCTCTCTGTAGTGGTCCCATTTTTTGGTATGCACTTCGCATCTTCAAATTTCAAAGTGTTACTGCAGGACCACCAGCCACTTGATGAGCCATTGACGCTTGCTAACGAGGAACTCGAGGTGGTTGATCCTTTCACTTATCTTGGCAGCTGCATCAGCAATGATGGGTGCATAGAAACTGACGTCAGCTCATGCATTGCAAAATCCAGAGCTACCTTCTTGAACCTGCGACATTTTTGGCGACAAAAGGGAGTTTCCCTCCGTCTGAAAGGCCGTGTATACAAGGCCACAGTGAGGGCCGTACTGCTCTATGGTTGTGAGACTTGGCTCCTTCGGTCTGAAGGTCTGACGCGCCTTCAAATCTTTGATCATTGTTGTCTGCTAATCATTGCTGGAGCCGGATGGCACCAGCGTGTCCGCAACGATGGTGTGCGTAGGCGAGTACTAGGTGGTGATAATCTTGCTAGCTCCCTAGAACAACAGATAGCACTGAATAAGTTGCGTTGGCTCGGGCACGTGCTACGTATGCCTGGTCACCGCTTATCTAGGGTGGCCTTGTTAAGTCTCCGAGGTGTAGGGTGGCGCAAGACTCGAGGTGGACGAAAGTTGACTTGGCAGCAGGAAATGAAGTCACTGACTACCTGAATAACCTTGAATAATCTTACTGGAGTGGTACCATCATTCGGAGTGCGCTTTGCACCTTCAAAGTGCAAAGTGTTGCTACAGGACCACCAGCCACTTGATGACCACTTGACCCTCGATAACGAGGTACTCGCGATATCTGATTGCTTTACTTACCTTGGCCGCTGCATCAGCAACGATAAGCGCATAACAACTGTAGTCAACTCATGCGCTGCAAAAACCAGAACTGCCTTCTTGTATCTGTGAGATCTGTGATGACAGAAAGGGGTTCCCTTAGGTCTAAAAGATGGAGTATACAAGGCCACAATGAGGGCCGTCTTACCATATTGTAATGAGACTTGGCCCTTTCGATCTAAAACCTGAAGCGCCTTCAGATTTTTGATCATCACTGTTCCCGCGGCATTGTTGGTGTCGGGTGTCACCTGCGTGTTCGCAACTATGATGTGCATAAGGTGGTGCTAGGCAGTGATAACTAAGCTCCTTAGAACAATAGATAGCACTGAATAAGTTGCGTTGGCTTTGGCACGTACTACTTATATCTGGTCACCGCTTACCGAGGACAGCCTTGTTTTGTCTGTCAGATGCAGGGTAACGCAAGACCCGAAATGGACAAAAGTTGAGTTGACAACGGAAAATGAAGTCAGTGACGACCAAATTCTGTGCCGTCGGTCCGTCAGGCCTTCCACTCTGGAGTCCGTATGACTCACCATGTTCTTGGCTCGGGACGTTAGAGGACGTGACCCGCAGTCGGCGTCACTGGTGTGTCTGTTGTCATTTCCCAGTCGGATTGCTTATTTAAAGTTTGGTGCTTAATGGCACGAAGCAGTGAAAGTCGCAAGGAAGCGGTCTGTCCGATGTCCTCCTATTTTTGCACGCATTTTGCACATTTGTTTGTGACCATAGGTTACTGACAAGGTGTAGACGCTTTAACCTTGAATGTTTGCTTAGGACACTAAGGTATTGCGATATATCTCTCTTCTCTCCATCGTATTCATCTTTACTCGTTGTAGTTTTACGGCAGGGAAGCATCAGTTCAAATGGCTGATGTACTGCCGTTGATTCACTTAATGGTCCAATGCCTACATTGCGGACTATTGCCTCTCCATATGAATACGGAATACTACTATATTGTGGGAGCAAGTGGAAATTTGAATCTGTACAATTCCATCAAACAATGATTAAAAACCATAAAAAACAAACTATGACTTGTTAATACGCTGATCGTTGTTCACGTTCTCATGTTACATCGTTAAAATTCGTTTAACACAGAGTAGGTTAGGTCCCAAAAATGCGAGATGTTTTGGGCAATCGTTCACGGAAGCTAATATTTGATAACTGTATATCCAATGAGCGTTTGAATAACGGCACTGGATTCGCACTGAACTTGAATATATTTCCACTCTACCCGGATGTTCTTATCCGAAAATCAATCAGTAGGTTTTAACCGTTCTTTTGTGGTAGGCAGTAAACCTGTTTTCGCAGTTGTTTTATAATCAATATATGTAAAGTGAAGGCATAAGCAGAACGCCGGTATGCGGTACCGACGCTTCGCTGCCGCGCAACCACCAACAGTTGCGCATGGGCCGAGGCTATCGTGTGTGTCGGCCAGTCCCCTACGCGGGGTCAAACCCGCGCCCTCAGGTTGAGGAGCAGGCTTTTAATCCTTAAGACTATGTGCCGGCACTAATGCATCTACGATATTTCTTCCTCACAGTTCGATAGGATGCTTGTTACGGCTGGAAATTCGCGCGGATTAAAAACAGGAAAGCGCATTATTAACTTGAGTACTTCGTTACACTTAATAAAAATGAGATCTATGTGACATCGAGGGATGTAAGCTTATCCAGTCAAATGCACCCTACCGATCCAATTCCCAGTGTTTGTGCACGCGTGACGGGAGGTTGATCTCCAACAGCTTTAAGGCCTGTATACTGTTATTGCATCAGCTCTAACGCAAAGCTGCGTAGTTAGGAGGACAAAAGAAGCATCCATGAAGTACGATAGATGTCCTGGTAAACCTTTTACAAAATGTACCTAAATACGAGCTTTAAGGAAATGTGTATGCCTAACGGAAGTTAAAGATAACCATGAATCTTCCTTAGCTTTATTGCATACACGCCCGATTTCTTACAGTCTCATAACTCAAGGTGTTTATTGACATAAGGGAACAAACTATTGTCTTTATCCCGTTTTAGTCTTTCTGACAGCCGTGGAAGACTGGTTCAATGTACTCTTGCCGAAGCTAAAGAAGCATCTCTACCACAATGGCGGTCCGATCATTATGGTGCAAGTGAGTTTCCACTATAACTATACCCGTTCAGCATACTATCTATTATCGGATGTTGTACAGTCAGAAATTCGTCACACCTAGACTCACTCAGACAGCCGTCACATGCAAGGAAAAGCACCGTACGTGCGTTTCATCCTTTCGGGAATCGTCAACAGAGCCTATCACTATCTTCTGATTTGCACGTTAATGTCGTGTAAAGGACAGGGTAGCCTCCACACCAAGTGACAAATTTACCAAACTTCAGCCGCCAAATAACTTATAGCATTATAAGCATTGAGCGGCGATGTATCACATCTAGCAACTTATTCACGATGGTTGTTGCCGTCCCCCGTAGCTCATTGGTCTCAACCACGGAATGGCAACAGTCGAGTTGCGGGTTCGAGCCCAACCAAGGGTCCGATGGAATGCGCACTGCTGACGATTCCCGAAAGGATGAAACGCGCGTACAGTGCTTTTCCGGGCTTTGGCGGCTGTCTCAGTGAGCCTAGATGTGACGAAGTTCTACCTATACCATTCAACTCCCCCTACTACTCTTCTGTTATCAAATGCACGTTTGCTTCATATGTTTTGTGCGGCCTCCGAAAAATTTTGCACTTTTAATTCTAACATCTGGCTAATTCAGCAAGTCTATCTCCTCGATTACGACAGACGGTTTGGAGTGAGGGAATAAAAGTTTTACTCTGTAGTAGAGAAAAGCAAACCGACTTGGTTTTGATGGCGTAGGTTCTGTATTACTTCGTCAATGTGTGCATGTAGTTTTTGAGAGAAACCACACGGTCTGCTGTCATCTGTTTTGTCACAGGTGGAGAATGAGTATGGGAGCTACGCCGCCTGTGACAGAGACTACCTAGCTGCGTTGAACGCGATGGTCACACATCACCTTGGCTCGGAAAGCATCATATCCACAGTGGATGTTGGCACAAAACAGCACTTGCTTTGCGGTTCGCCGTTCACTGGGAATTTGGCCACGGTTAGCTTCGGTCCATGTAAGTTGCAAGCTATAAATTTCGATTTGAGAATACACTGAAGGATGATCCCTACCGTTTCATATTTTATCTATTTGTTCTATTTCAGATAAAGGTGATCCAGACGACAAATTTGTCGCACTCTATGAGTTTCAGCCAGATGCACCTTGGGTAAATACGCTTGTATTGTCCGTCTACCACTAGTGTTTATCCCAACACCATGCACCTGAATGTGATTCACGATCCACAACTTATAATTAGTTAACTCGATTATTTCATCTTGCACATGGCAGTTTATTAACAATTTCTAGGTGTTACTGGATTGGCCAAAAGAGCCGGTTGGGTACTAGTGTGCTAAGTTTTTGGATGAATTTACCTTTTTGAAATAGCTGAAGAGAGAATTTCTTGTCAACCATCAAGCAACCATTAGGCTACTTGATGCCTCCGTTTAGTACACAAACTTAATCCCTGTGATATGAATAAACATAGTGAAGCTGGCGCTCTGGGATGGGGGTGGTTTATCACCTCTAATTCCTAAGCATACGCCACGGATACCACAGGAAATAATACCGTCGAAAACGATTCCACTTCAAAAGGTAAACTGTTGATTGGATTCACTTTTGCAGAAATACAGCCAACAAAACGATCTGGGCCTCCTCTAGCAAGCATCCTCACGTACAAGTTTAAAGATACGATCTTATCATAAGGTCAAATATTTTTCGTTCATCATAGGGGTTTTCTTCCACATTCACATACACTGGAAGCATAGCTGGTTAGGTCAGTAATACATCAATGCGTAGTGATTTATTCATATCAATTCATATAGTTTTGTATGAATTATGTGAGGGTACGAGGGCTCAGGTTACTCCCCTGTTTAGAGGTCAAACTGTTCACCACCGTGAAGCGCGTCAATGCCAACACTTTCTAGCTTACTTAGTCAAACTTGTGATTAAGGTTCTCTATGGGAGTTCTGCGAGTCAGCTTGGAACGCTACGTCTTTTGCTTCGTTTCAGGTCAACTCGGAGTACTACACCGGGTGGATGGATCACTGGGGTTATTTTCACTATTACACAAACCCAAAAGTTTTTACCGAACGCCTCGTTCAGCTGCTGTCTTACTCGCCAAGAGTTAGCGTAAACATGTAAGTTGACGCTTTGGTTTTTCCTGCTGCATCAAAATTTCTGCGGAACTTCTGTTGTGGGACATTTCACAACGAAAATTACTCGTAAAATCAGCATGTGCTGTTTCACTAATTACTCAAATAAATCTAGCTGCGAAAATTTTTGACAGTTGCATCATAAATTCTAGACCTATCTGTGTAACCCGGAGAATAGCTCACACGCGCAATGCAAGATGTCATCGATATTCAAAATTGTTTGAAATTCTAGTAGATCTGGTTGACGATTTGGTTGCTGTTGTTCGCTGAGCTTGGAAATTGGTTGCGGAAGTTTCGTCACCACTCGGAGAGACATCATCAGTGCAGAGTTGGATGTGGCTTGGTCGAGAAGGCTAGTACCAGACCAATCCATTCATGTAGAAGGAATCTGTCCTCATTGTGATATGCAAACAGGAACAATATCTGAAATGACCGAGTAACTATCATTAGTCTAATTGATTGGAGGGTCATTTTGAAGTCCACATTGTCTGACTGGATTACGACGTGCAACCTCAATGTGGATAGTGATTCGCAGTGAAGTGAACCAAAGTCAATTCGATCGCTTGGACCGTAGGCATAGCAGGCCCAAATTAGGTCTTGCTCACCGGAAACCCCTCATCCACGACGCGTTTCGATCTAATTTGATCCCTAAAAGTGCAAGCGGGATTTGCTGCATTCAGTGTATTTAGCATATTCTCATTCAGCCGCTTACATGATAATAGCAAAAACTGTAAATGAGCGGAAGTGCAAGGGAATTAATAAAAAGAATCCCTACTCAACTGTGGCAGTAACCCGACAGGAGAAAACACCTTACCACGGCAGAGCAAGACTGACCACAATTTCGTTACTTGCATAGGTTAAGCTTTATACACCGGAGGGCGGCAGCCTCAGCGAACCTTAGAAGGTCAGGATTACTTTGCTTGCTAAGAACTTTGAATGCTTCGCTGGGGTTTTGGCACATTGTACAGTAGAACAAGTACCTAGCAATTGGGCTAGCAGGTAATTTACCACAAGTCAAGGTTAGATTGCGCGTGATGTGTTCCGAAATCCGGGCTGACAGCCTTCTGTCCTTCAGGCCGATGTACACGCTAATGTACGTACAGTTAAACTGGCAGACGCAGGAGGCGGTAACGTGAGAGTGAGGCCTGTCTAGGTTGGATTCGTGTAGCAACTTTCTGATTTGGTGCAACAGCTCCAGCTCAGCTACGGGGTAGCTCCACTTTACGGACTGGCGTAAGCGATGGCAGAACCTTCTATCATTCTGTTCCCTTTGTACGATAATATAAGGAAGACATTCCTCTTAGGGATCAAAACCGGTTGTTGTTTTCTCGCTATTCCTCTCCCATGCTTTGCAATAAACTTATCAGGATAACCATTAGCGCTTAAGGTGGAAATGACGCTTTGTAGTTCATTCGGACTTGATTCTTTCTAACAGATTCGTTGGGTTCTCACAAAAGAAGTACAACCCAAAGAGCGTTCGTAGCTCAAGAGACATGAGCTTTTGAAATTTAGGTACTACCCTGTCCAACTCGGTTTATGATAAATCGACTGGCTCACTTTTCTTACACTTCCGTGGTACCAGCCGGGAACACAGTAATACCACTCCATTTTTAACAGTCCCACAGTTTTCCACGGATGCACTTGATGTTAGAGGCCAATCCACTCGGTTCGAGGCTCGAGTTAGACCGACGAAATCATCTATCTGATGGTTGTAAGCTGGTTTAAGTGGACGGGGATACGCTAAAGGTAGATCCATGCTGGGTCCTGAGTGGTCACTTGCAGCGCAGGGCTCCAAGGTTTGAATAGCAAACGCGTATTGTTCCCATATTGTTAATATCAAGTCTAAGCACGATAGAGTTGCGTGCAGCTTTATACGTGTCAGTTGGCATATGTGTCGCGCTGTGCCACTTTCAGGTACCGGGTCCACAAGCTTTGTTTCGAATTCACAATCACGGGGTATGAGTTGAAATTCAGGTTAGAGTGATTGGGGAGAATTGAAACCATCCATGACTAGTAAATAGAGATAACTCAAGTGACTTCAAAGATGTGACAGCCAATCCAAGCAACGGCTCACGGAAGTGCGAGGAACTGCACCCACGAGCAGCTTTCCACACCTGAGGTGGATCGAGCACCATGTCTGCTCACACAGGTCAGTGTTACTTCTGTAGACGCCCAAACCTTTTCGACACACAGATGACCGGGTGCAGAGCAAGATGCCACCGCGGGCAGTCCACAGTCTATCGCAGCGGAAACATGAATAGCCACTGAGTTTGATTGCCTGGGCTGTGACCTCAGAATTCAGCCCCGTCTCTGCGAGTCCGATTACGTATGGCCGTTCAGATGCAACGAAACAACAGACTTCACCGTGCTTGTACATAAGACTACAAATGCTGATAAAGGCTGTGCGCAGACGGCAGTAGAAACCACCGGGTGCGCTAGAATTGTAAGCAACCTGTTTATCCTGTTTCGTGGAATCGTGTAAACGACCCGAAAATTTATGACACGGAGAATTTTGCCCATATCCATTGCGTATTGTCAACTTAATGGTAGCAGACTTGAGTTGTTCTCGATCCACCGGGTCTAAGTTTGGACGAGTATGGATTTTCAAACACGTCTACTTAGGCGGGACAAGATCAGTCACGGACTGGTTCATACACAGTGGTGATAGTCATTGGCTGACTTTGTGGATCAGCTTTCTTTCCAAGACACGTAAGTTGCCTCTTTCAACCTGCCCCCACCCAAGTCAATGAGCTTATCAATCAGGCTCTGTAAAAACTTCACTTAACGATCGTAGTGGACCTGGGGAGTTTGGATCACTGGACTCAGGCGCGTGGAAGTTCACGAGTCTAAAACGCCTCTGGTCGGCTAAGATTGCTCTTGCATGGTAAGGATTTTCCCAAGCTTCGCCTGCCGTTAATTTACGGAGGCCAAAGAGTTTCCTCCTTCCTCTTTCTCATTCCTTGTACTTTTCAAGCGTCTTTAGTACACAGGCTTTCACACACTGGGACAGCTGTGTCCGTAGGGCAAAACATGGACAAAAGGTTTATGGCAAGTATAACAGGACTATCCGCAACTGCGGGACTTCCTGTCGATGAGCATGCATGGGACTTGAAGGAAAGCTTATCTGAAAGCTGGAGGCAATTCTGGGTAGCTTGTTGGGCCAAACACACGGAGCTGCTCGCAGTGGAATAATTCAGCCTACCAGGTCGTTTTCGACTTTTTTCGACTTTGTTCGACTGTTTCTCGCTTCTGCAATTCCTTCTCAAAATCTGAACGAAATCATGTTGGATTTTACAGAAGCGCCGAAAATGTTCAGTTGATAGTTCAATGCATGAAATGTGTAACTTAAGGTTGTACATAACACAAATGAGTGCATTTGATCGACCTCCAGCAAACTTGGCACAGATACCTTAAGGTGAATATTTCGACATTATGAATAATCCGAGACCAAGCTGGCAACCAAATGTGGAGCACAGAACGATCGTAAGATCCCGGAAAGTCACCAGGGTTGACAAACATTTATAGTCCAAAAATCCGGAATCAGAAATGAAACTGACTGTTATTGTAATTCCAACAAACTAATTCTAATGCACCGAGAAATCCAACACGAAAGAATCGTGTTAACACAGCCAGAAAAGGACCAAGCGGAGGCCGCTAAGGTTACATCGGATCTGGCAACAATGTGTAGTCCACATGATGCCGCACGTAGGTGTTAAGCAACTGAGAACAGGCAGAGGGATCAAACCACCTGAATGCCGTCCGCAGCATGCCAGCTTGTTGGTTCCCGGTCTTTGACGTCCTCTCAGATTATTCTGAGCAGCCCCAGATCAGCCAGAAGTAATACCCCAAGTTCACGCTCCTGGGTGACTGCCTGCAGGACATGATCTCCAAGCTTGTATGTGATGTTCGGCTGGTGGCAAATGGGAACCACATTACACTTCCCCGAATTGAACTGCAGCAGATTGTGGAGTGACCACCCATACGCTCTGTCTAGGTCTCACTAAAGTGCATCGTGATCTGCTGGGTAGGCGATCGTCCACCACATCTTAACATCGTCAGCGAACAGCAAGCATTTGGAAGTAATCAACCGCGTAAGCTCGTCAATGAACACGAGAAACAGACGCGTCCACAGAACTGGTTTTTGTGGAACTCCGCATTCGACATAAATCGGATCGGACAGCGCACTTCGAACTCTGATCTGCGGTTCCCGATCCTGCAGAAAAATCCTGATCAACCTAAGGACTGGATCACTAACTCCATAGCTTTCGAGCCTGTGAAACAGAATGCGATGGTCCAGTCGGTCGAAAAATTCGTGCTAACGGACGTCTATCCATTTGCCTGTATCGGCCGCTTCCGTCCAATTACTGCGTGCATTAATTAGGTGGGTAGTGCATGAACGGTGCTGGCGGAAACCGTGTTGCTCGGGTGCTGTGCTGTTGTGGCGTTCTAGTTGGTCTACTAAAGCCTCAGTTATGATTGCCTCCATCAACTCTGAGAGCAAAGGGAAGAGGACCACTGGGAGATAGTTGGTGGGTTCTGAGCGGTTACCGCTTTTGAAACTTGGCGTGATTACGCCATGTTTCCACATGGTAGGCACAATTTGTTTATCCAAGTACGTTTGGAAGAAATGCGATAGTGGCCCGGCCAGCGTTGTTGCTGATAAATTCAGCGCCCTCGGGTGAACATAGTCGATTCCGGGAGAGTTGTAGGTGCGTAGTGAAAACAGTTTCTTCAACACAGCTCTTGCACTAAAATCGATGTTAGTGAGTACTGAAGTTGAGGATAGGGATGTGGATACGTAACACTGGAGGACGTCTCTTTGGAAGGTTGTGGCATACCGCATTCGTAGGGCGTTTGCTGCCTCTTCACTACTCCGTGCCACTCCGACAGGCGTGTTAAGTGAGTGGATACCGAGCTTCACTTCCAGGATGATGTTAACATGCTTGTATAGAAGCTTATAGTGGTTGACAAATGCACAGGCCAAA